AAGAGCGAGGGGAAGGGAGGAGACCCTGGGCAGGGACCTGCCTGAAGCCAGGGGCAGAGCCAGGGACTGCTTGGGCTCAGCCTGGGGGATTGCCTGGTGCTGGCAGCCTTCAGGGCTCTGCTGAGGGCTGTGAGGCTGTGGGCAGGCAAGGCGGGGAGTGGGAACCCTGATTTGCTCCCACTCTGCTGTCCTGCAGCCGCACGTGGCTGTTTGGGATATGAGGGGCAGAGCCAGGGACTGCTTGGGCTCAGCCTGGGGGATTGCCTGGTGCTGGCAGCCTTCAGGGCTCTGCTGAGGGCTGTGAGGCTGTGGGCAGGCAAGGCGGGGAGTGGGAACCCTGATTTGCTCCCACTCTGCTGTCCTGCAGCCGCACGTGGCTGTTTGGGATATGGACGGTCCCGACCCAGCCATTGCAGCTCAGGGCAAGCCTGGGCCAGGGCTCTCAGCGCTGCTGCACGGCCCGAGCATAGCTGCCCTCCAGCCGCATGTGCCACGGGACTGCCCCAGCACCATGCCGTTTGCACGTGGCAGGGGGGACCTGCCACCGCTGCTCTTGTCCCCCCTAGCGGGACATCCCAGCAGCCTTCTCTTGGCAAGAGAGCCATCACCAAAGGCGTCATTGATCCATTTAACCCATGGAATAAATAAACGCAAGTTTGCATAGCAGCTGACCCACGTTGGTAGTCCCAAAGATGGGAAGATGAGCTCTGGGCAGTAGATCTGCTCTGAAAGTTGTTAATCCCAGGAGCTCTAGTATGAGCGAAGAACTAGGGTGGTCGCTGATGCGGAGGGCAAGGAGCGAGCCGTTCAAAGGGCAGGGCTTGCATCTGCAGGGTGGAACTAACTCACACGTAAGCGCAGCTTCTCTGCTTTTGCAGAAGCACGCGAGCCGCGTTAGCCTGCAGCAGCAAAAGAAGCAACAGGCGTCTTGCTCCATGCACAGAAGTGTCATCCAAGCTGTTTATTTCTGATCACGGTCAAAGTGGCAATTAAAACAAGGAGAAAAAAAAATTAAAAAAAAAAAAAAAGAAAATGTTTATTGTTGAACAGTTTGTGTTTGTGGATTTGAATTCACCTGCAAGTATTTGATGACTTTTCTACATCCTAGACTACCTGCTGTGTGTTGTCAAAAGATTCTCATAAAGACCTCCTTTTAGATGGGCATATACTCTTTATTCTATTTGCTGCATGTACGAAAAAATAAAATATATAATTTTAAAGAAACCCTGAGATCTTGACATCCTTTGCCTGCGAGACTCTGGGGGCGAGTAGGGGAGAAACGGGGGGCTGGGTGCACCATGGGACCCCCAGCAACCTGCAGCTGGTCCTGGCTGCTGGCCGCCTGCGTGGCCAGCCGGAGCGGCCCTGCCGAGCCCCGTGACAGCAGCAACCACATACCTGTGCAGCTAGAGAATATCGGCAAGTGGAGCTTGCCTGAATGCAGGGCCAGGGCTAGAGAGCTGGAGCTGTGGCTGCGCTTAGAGACACAATATAGACCAAGGGGGAGGGAAGGTGTTGGTTGTTTGCAGCTTTGGTTAATTGCTAATTAACCTGCAACGCTGTTGCAAATGCTCTTCCCACTGCCCCGTGAGTGCTGGCTCTCGGTCCCTATAGCTCACGCAGGGCTGCAGGGGTGAGGCAGGGCTGCAGGGGTGAGGCTGGGTGCCGGGCAGGAACCCCTGCGGGGGCTCAGGGTGCCGGGCAGACCCCTGCGGGGGCTCAGCCCAGCCACGGCAGCGAGGGCAGGGCAGCACAGCAGCAGGCTGGGAGGGTTGGGGTGCTGCGAATCCCCCCGCATCTACCCGTGCCCCTGAGGCTGCAAAGGGTCTCCTGGCTGAGCACGCTGTTACGCAGCTTTCTGCTCGCCTGCGTGGAGAGCAGCACGGCACAGACCTGCTTCTCTCCGTTGAGTAAATCTGCTCTTGTAGGAAGTGCCCTTGTGAAAGCTGGTGAGCACGTTACGGCATTTCCCTCTCCCTTTGGGGGCTTTGGCTAAGCCTTCAGCCACACGTCCTCGTCTCTCCCACCTGGCATGGCCAGTGGTCACTGGGGTCCCCTGTGATTTGCCTGGCGGCGGAAAAACTGCAGGGCTCAAGCGGCCCCGTGCTGCCCGCGTACCCCAGCATCTCCCCTCCAGGCTGGAGGGTCCTGGTCTGTCCCCTGCTCCCCCCCTGATGCTCCCCTGCAGCCCCTGGGCATGGAGCAGGGCGAGCCCCGGGACGGGGCAGTCTGTGGGGCTGTGCCGGGAGGGTCACCTCCAGCCCCACCACAGGGTTTCAGGGTGGCCAGGTTGAGCCCCTCCCCAGCTTCGCCAACACTTCCGCTCCCAGCATGTCGGAAATGCTTCTGAGCTTTGGTTATCCTGGCTTGTGTAAGTGAAACATTTGGTTTTGTGACACTTCCTTTAATTATGGGAGCTAATGACAAAACCATTGTGACAAATGACTCAGCTTTTGATAGTGAAGTTAATTAATTCTGAAGTTAGAGCCTCCATCGGCGTATCTGGAAGAACCCCATTAAGAAACCCGCTTACCCAGTGTAACGTGGGCAGCAAAAACCCAAGTCCCCACAACGCAGGTACAATCCTCCGCGCCGCTGCGAGGGGGTGATGCGCTGGGAGCGAGGAGGATAAAGGCCAGGCACCAGCACGGCGTTTGCCTCCCAAGCCTTCCCTCCATCTATCAAAGGCGTCAGGAGGAACACAGCCTCATTAATGTTTGAATGAGTGACCAGAAGCAGCTTTGCGTTAGACTCTGACCTTCAAGAGCCGTCTCCCCGAAGCCATCTTTCATCTCTTTCATTTGCATTACAATCCTGTTTGCCTCATTATTCGTTATCCACTTCTTCTTCAAAGAATTTAAATCAAATCAATTAAATTGCGGTGGGTCAGAGCAGCAGCAAACCTTTCATGGTGGCTCGGGATGGTCCGGCTGGACTCAGGCTACAGAATGTCTTTTAATCTCCTGCTATTTGTTCTTTTATTACTTCTGTGGTAGCACTGCCTCGCAGAACCCCGTGGATAACCTCCCTCCCTTACCATGCTGACATGCTCCATGCAGAGCCTGCTCTTTGTATGACCTTGGGGAAGGGATTCCCTTGGCTTCCCTCCCGCAGCCTGGGATCAGGATGTCCCCAGCAGGGACTGCGCGCAGTGCCCCGTACCCTTGGAGCCGGCACGGAGCAGCTCGGGGAACCCCGTGGCACTGGCATGACATTTGCTGTCCCTTCTCATCCCCTTCCCTCTGCTGGACTTGTTTTTCTGCCCAGGGTATTGGTGCAGAGGAGAGAAAAAAGAAAGCTGACGCAACGGTGGGGCCCGGCAGCGCGTGCAGCGGGTGGGTGCGAGAGCAGAAGCGTGGGCAAGGCAAGGTGGCCTTTAGCGTGCGGCTGCTGTACGCGCCCTCACCTGGGTCTCCCGAGAGGCTGCGTCCTGCTTGCTAGCCCATGCATGGCCACCCCTGCGCTCCCTTCGCATCTGCCCAGAGTAAAGAGGCTTAATAAGAACGGATTTCTGTTTCTCCCCCTGCTATTTTTATTGCTACGAAGCTGTTGGAAGTCCAGCGGGGAGCTGCAGAGCTGGTAGGCAACCGCACAAGCGCTCACCGAGCGAGGCAGCTCGTGCCACACCGCGCCTGGGCTGGCGGCACGCATGGCACCGCTCCCTCGTGCCACACCTGGGCGGCAGCACGTCACGGAAGGGCATGCCAGCCTCACCGCTGGAGTCCTCTTAGAGCCAGTAGATTGCAACCGGCATTTCCAAAGCATGTGCAGATATAAATAATCCCCTCGTAGGAGTGGGGAAGGATGAACACATGTGCCAAGGGCTCTGGAGTCCTTATCCCCCTGCAGCCCTCGGGAGCAGGGAGATGAAGTGAAGGCTAGGCAAGGCTGGGGCTCAGCATCTCACTGCATTGCTAATGACCTAAACTCGCCGTGTACCAGAGCCTCTCTTCCTTCAAGGAAAAAACCTAATCCAGCTAGGGATTATTTCTGACTACTTACTTTCTGTCACTTTGCCAATTTAAATGCAGCAGAGCTTTCATCGCTGGATTTGGAAGGACAAAGCCTAACAGATCTCGGTTTAGGACATTTTTGCCTGCAAGGACAGCTTTTTTTTTTTTTTTTTGCACAAGTTGTACAATCTTTGCAGGATGAGCTGGTTTCTCTTGTTTGTTTCCACTTTGCCAAGCTCAGAAGGGCCCAGATCTGTGAGCGGGTAGAGGATGATGGCTCAGGCAGTGAACAGCGAGGGGCAACCGGGGCAGGAGCTGGAGGAGCCCGCGCTGCATGGGGCAGGGTGCCAGGCTGTGACCACCAGAGCTCGCTGCCCTCCAGGTGCCGAGCTGCAAAGCAGGATGGCAGGGTCCCCAAATTCTTGTTGGCTGCAAATTGTAGTGAACCCCCCCCTGTGTGTCCCCCAGGGTGGCTGCTCTGGGAAGACCTCCAGGCTCACTCCTGGGACTGGCTACTCCAGTAGCAGCGAGTGGTAAGAAGGGTGCAGGGCTTGGGGAGGGGTGCCCTGCCACCAGCCCCTACAAGGGCCAACATGATCTGCCATGGACTTTGATTCTGTTCAAGCGCGCTTTGTTAAAAGCCTAGGAAACGGTACATGTGCACTCTGCACACACCTACACACACTATGTTAAAATAACACAATTAAGGCTGCAAAATCCCCCACTCGGAATGAAATTTGCAGCCCCTTCGCCGTAGGTGTGAGATATCTTTGCTGCCTCCTTCCTGGGCCGCCTGCCTCTGCGCAGGACGGGGGCCGGGCAGGTTGCTGGTGTCAGGCTCTGCCCCACGCGCTGCGGGAGGTGGGTGACAGGCGGTGGGAGGGCAGGATGAGGCTGCTGTTCTGGAGCAGCACAGGCTCTCCCTATACCTCGCCCCAAGTTACCTTCATAGCACCCACCCGATCCCTCAGGAACAGCATCCTTGTGCAGCCGTGTGCAAGGGCTCATCCCAGCGTCCAGCCTGTGACACCAAGGTGTGACCTGTGACCACCATGTGCCACCACCAACGCCAGTGATGGAAACTGGGCAACCAGATCCCCTCCTCAAAAAATACACAGAAAAAAGCCCCGTGGTTCTTGGGCGGATGCTTCTGACCACAGTCCCTGAGTCTCCATCCTCACCCTCCTCAGAGAGCGCTGTCAGCCCCCAGCCTGCCGAGTGCTCCGGGTGGGAATGCTGGAAAAGCAGGACCTGGTGCTGTACAGCCAGGCGAGCTGGGGCAGACCTGCCTCGTCTCCAGCCTGGGCCCTGAACAGCGGCAGCAAACAAGGCAAAGGGCCCGAAACAAAGCAGGGGAATAAACTGGGGTGACCCACAGCTGGGCAGCCAGTCTGGCAGGCAGGGGGCTGGGGAAGAAATTCTTGCGGCATTGCAATCAGCATGCTCTGCCTAATGAGTATGCCGAAAGGAGGTGATTTAAGGTTGAGCAGGCTACTTTATTTTCACACTTCTTAATTTCTCAGTACCTGAGGTTTTGGTAACCTTCGTAATTTTCTGTTTGCATTTTGCTAGTATTTACATGTGAGTGCATACAGATGCAAGCTGTGGAAGTACACACTATCAGGTAAATCATGTGCTCTTCTGTCTCACCCGTAGCCCTTAAAAGACTATTAATTTAAGAGGTGGGTATATTATAGGGCTTATTTGAAAGGTCACATGAGTCATAAGCTCCTCCAACTGGCTGCAAAAATGTTTGAGATGAGGAGACAGCAGAGAGGCACAGAGAGTGAGGGTTCGAACTGGTGGCAAACAGGGAGGGTGATGTGGGAAGCACCCCAGGTACCACGGCTGTTTGCTGGCACCCGTGCTGATGTTGGTCTGTCACAGTGCTTGGGCTGGTGGTAAAAACTGGGCTCGGCCTCAGTGTGGGCAGGGGCTGGGGCATCCCAGGTGACGTGTTCCCCCCCGGCTCCGTGGGAGCACGGGGCTCAGCCAGTGCTCAGCACCCA